CAAAGATCATATCAGAAATGTTTTTTTGATGAAATAAACTAGCTGTAAACAAGGTTCAAAAACATTCGCAGATTTTTTGTAAAAAAAAACTTGTTTTGGACAGTAATGTCAGGGACAAGATGTTACCCTTTTTTCTTTTTGGCTTTTCTTTTTCGTCGCTTCACGTCTCACATGAACAGATGACATGTCAATCAGTGCGATCACGTCTCTTGACGTAATCGATCGATCGATAATCTCTAGGAGCAAATGGTACGCTGCGTTTCAACGGTGTCTCAATAGACTCAGGTAGTTCCCGTCCCCATCATCAGTCATTAGTTTCAATTTATGAATTTTTAAATTATTTGTCCCATTTAGAAGAAGTATGGTGTAATTCGATAGTAAGGCTACACTATTTTGTCGATTTGAAGCCTTTCCCCACACGAATTTATGGGAAAAGTATGTACATGTGCGTGCATGTGTGGGTGAGGGCCACTATTGACTTCTTTCCCCACATCTGCTTATTACGCCTCAATCGGGAACACTTGGACTTGGGTGAGTGAGGTGTGCTTGTCCCCGCGGGCTCCGACTTCACACTCTGTTTTGTTCCGCAAAGGGGGAGGGGAGGGGGAGGGGGGTCGTCATAGTTTTGGTCGTAGCTAGGGGGAAGCGCTAGCAATGAATGAAGCCCACTGCCATATTTGTTCAGACAGCTCCCGTCTCCGTGGTCCCCCACCCGTGTGTTCGAATTTCCCGATCGATTAGAATTTAACTGTGACGTCATAATGTGGTCTTTTCATATCGGTCGGCATCACATGCATACTTGTTTTTCAACATTTACTGTTGCACATGTCAATAATGAGATCAGCTGGCAGAATATTCTCTCACCAACTTTCACCTATCACCATGTGTTCTTTTACTTAAAGTATTCTGTTACTTTATTTTTGAAGTTTTTTTTTCTAATTTTACTAAATACCCAAGCACTTTTTAAATGCGTGCTCGGAAACACGGTTACCGTTGACATCTTGAGTATAAACACCATTAAATATTAGGTATTTGTTTGGTAACTTGTTATACTTCATGGTTTTTCGAAATCTTGATAAGTAAATCGTCTTGAACTGACTGTTCCAGTCCTGATAATGAACTGAACTGATGATTGATAGAACTTTTTGAATCACAAGTGTCCTTAATGAGTAGTTTTTAAGTGTAACTTATGAGTCACCTTCGTAGAGGCGGCCAAGGAAACCAGTGTCTGGCCTGTTGCCCTCCAATAATCTCTGTGGGTGGTCTTGAGGTTGTTTGTTCCTCCGATGTTTACTTCGTGACCGAAATTCGATCTCTATTCTAAACAGATGTAAATTGTCAAATAAGTGCGAGAAATGTTCCGGTTTCGGTTTTCTGCGACCTATCGTGATGATCTTTTTCATTTTTCACTCCAGACATACTACTTAGTACTAGTAGATTATTTTGGGAACAAACGAGTTTTTCCGTTGATTTGAATGTATGCATATAAGAGCTCTGAAACCAGTTTTGGGTTGTGTAACAGGGTCACTTCTTTAAGCAGTAATTCATTTCAAATTCCTTTTTTCTCTCGGACAGATCATTGGACCATGCCTACATTGATAAGGACGAGTTTTGACCAAAATTGGACCCTTGCCAACCTCCATGACTCTGCTGATCGTCTGCGTTTTACCTTTTCTCCTCTTTGTTTTACCATACCATTATTAGACCCTGTTTTACACGAATTTTGAAAATTTACAGAAGGCCTTTGCTATTTTTGTGGTGTGGACTGTTCAAGACGCATGATCAGTATCTTTTTGATTTTTTTGTACTTATTTCTTATATTTTTTTAAAATTATTTTATTTGATATTATTTCTTCGATGTCAAAGATTGCGTGGATGTAAGAAAATTTATATAACTACCTCAAAATGAATGGGTATGTTGTATGGTGTTTATTTTTTGAAACTTTTTGAAAATCATACGTCACTCGCCAAACTTCGTAGTTCAATTGTCAAAAACCAATTATGTAATCATACAAGTAAAATGTTTATTGTTATTGGCAAACGGAATGTCTGCTGTAATACCTACTAGTAGTAGCAGAAGTAAATCTTATTTTGACGGGACGGGTGACTAAAAAAATCTGCTATTTGTGCCCTTCTCATAGCTACTATCCTGTAATTTAGGAACTTTCATGCCGTGTCTGTTCATTCTAAAGTGTGGCTCTGAGTAGAAATTTGAAAATTAGTATTCACAGGTTGGAAAAGTGTTACTTTCTTAGTAATTTAGGATCCTCGAGAAATGAGACTATCACTGACATCACGAGATCACCATAATAAGCTTTTTGTTGCACCCTGTTAAAGTTCAGGGGTTCATTTTTTCCGATTTCCGACCTTCCGACATTTTGTGCGTCCTATTACAAGAGGCAGTCGTCTTCTGGCATTAGTGTAGACCACAAATCACTCTACTATTTTAACATTTTCAATTACCATTTACTCATAAACAAGTCTAGCTCATTTACAGCTCACCTGGTAGTATCAAGATTCAGGCTTATTCTGTCGTCTGAGGCTTTTTGCACCTGCACAGCAATGTTCACGGTAACTGAGCTCCTGATTTAATGCGAAACTCGGTTTGACGTCTGAAATTCCTCTCATTTCTTTGAATTCTTCGTTGCCTGTGTTGACGCTCATTACTCCGGTCCAGAATATGCTTCGTTAATTTCCTGTCACATTGGTAGCATGGGTCTACAGATTTGTTGTTGATTCAGGCTCATTTTGCTGGGTCCGAGACTTTTTTCTGGGTGTTCCTGTATGCTTACCTGCTGCTGCATCCTGATACATTCCTTCGTGCGCGGCGTCTCTCTCGCCGCGACGCGACAGTTTCGTTCCTGCTGCACCCCACTACACTTCCCAGCCCATGTCCGAGTATGATTGACCTCCGGTGGCAGTTGTCAGTTGCGTTCACCAGATCCAAGGACTTTAGCCCTTCAGACTATGGGTGATTTGTGGGTGATTAAGTCACCGGGTTGGTAAGGGGTGTCGTGGGTGGAGGTGACAGACGAAAGTGCGTAGAGTCCTCCCTACCCAGACTCTCTGCCTTTTAAGAGCTTGTTAAAGGCAATTTCATAGCGAAAGAACTTTTTTTTCAGCCGATTATGGTGTTTTTATCTTTCTCCCATTTATCAGTTTAGCTTTCGAAAAAAAAAATCAGCACATGAAAATCAACCAAAAAAGTCGTGCGGAAGGGTGGGCGTGAGGGCGGAGAGAGGCCCGCAGGATTGGGGAGGGTTCACGAGAAAGGAATACGGCACTCGTTCCAAATCGTTTTTCAAAACTAATCCAGTGTGCTTCTGATGATGGTTCCTTATTACGTGGTTTACCCTGCAGGGCTTCATCATATTCCGTTTCTTCCAATATTTTCGATCGATGATCGGAAGAAAGGATGCGGCTCGGAAATATAAATCTTCTGAGATTTCTTTCTCATTTCATCGTGCCATTTCCCATAAAATTTCTCATACCGTCGGCATGGTGACGCTTTTCTGAGAATTCCTATGCTTTCTAAAATTTTTGTCGATATTTCTTGGAGCTTCTTATGTTCGTAAAATTCCTGACAAAGATTAGATTCTGAAGATCGACCCCTTTCAGTTCAGGAAAGTTTCATGAGCTGTGGTGGAATCTTTGACGTGCATTTCCCTTCCCTCTGCCTTGTCTGGGGGCAGAGAACGGCTGTAAGATCCGGTCTTCGATTTGGTTTTTTGGCATTCAGAGCTGGTGACGGAAGGAGGGAGAGCTTTTGTTCATTTGTTGCTCCACTTTATAGCTGGGCCCTGATTTTTGTAAACTAGTTTCTATACGTTTTTCTCCCCTATATTGTTTTCGTCTCTTCAACAAAAATCCCCCTCAGTTGATGTATTGCCTCTCTGGGGAGTTGACGTTGTACGAATCATGCCACCAGCCTTTAGCCCATATGAAGATTGACATCATCGGACATCAACGACATTGTTGAAGTCGAACGTTATTCGTTTGTCAGTGGCAAAGAAAACATTTTTCTCTTTCCGGTTTCTCGTTCCCATGTCAATTTAGTGGAGACTGACTGCATTTCATCTTTTCAGCTACGCCTCGAAGACAAGTCGATATGTTTTTAAAATGATTGATCAGCTGGTTAAACATTATTCAGGTTTTGCGCGTCACCAAGGGACTAATCAATAGAGTATCTACCGCTATTCCATATTCCAGTGATTTATAGATTTCGAAAATTTAAGGTAGTTTCCTCAGCCGCTTTACGAACTTCACGGAGGAAGACTATGGGAAGTTTCGAAGAGCGGTTGACGCAACTATCTTCAGAATTCGAGGAACTCTCAATTTTGGATTCAAAGCAACAGTAGAATACCTTATCGATTAGTCCGTTCATGACGCGGGAAAACTAGATAACGGCAAGTGATCTATAAAATGTACGGCAGTAGATCATAGCAGTTCTTTTTCTTCGAACTCATGGATTATACGTTTGGATCTACTTATTGATCGAGTAATGTTTTAAAATCAATATTTCCAAATCGTTGTTGGTTTGCAGTAATTTTTGAGTAATTTTAGTACTGATTTTGAAAATTTGGTTGAGGATTAGACTGGGGAATGAGCTCTCAATTGATCGGGTGTTGATCTATGAGTTTGAGTTTGCTGTTGATCTTCACCCCACCTATCGACCCTTATCATTCCCACATATCTCTACACTACGCTTTCGATTCGGCCCCAATTTCGATACACGTGCACTACATTGCATCAATATATGGTATTCCCAAATAAACTTAAACCAGTAACCATTTTGTTATACCAGTTGTTGCTATCCAAATGTTATTGCCCGTTGAATATATTTATGTATAATATCAATCACGTTGATAAAATATGCCCATATTTTAGGCGTTCTTCTCGTTTTTATCAATCCATCACTTTCATTTACCGCGTCGTATGTTTTGAAAGGCGACCCTTATTTTTTTGATTACTTGCTTTTGTTTCAGGTAAGGTTGCCCAGTATGGTGCAAACCTATCAATCACCCGTTCGGGTATATAAACACCCATTCGAATTAGTTATAGCGGTAAGTCAAATTTATACAATATTAATAAGTAGTTGAATTAGTCAGTTACATTTGAGAGAAAAGATTTTTGCGTCAGAATACTTATGACCTTCAGTCAATACTGTAAGAAAATTACCGTTAGATAAGCCTCTCAGGAAATACAAAAAGTTGTTGTTTACCGGAAATACAAGTACTTACTCGAGTATGTGCCTTCCTACTACATTTTTCTGCCATAGCTTACTTCCTGGTTGTTGTAAATTGGGTTGGAATAGCTCTAGACTGGTGTACCATCTGTATGGGAACGATTTCCCGGGAAATTCCCCAATGGGTCCCCAGTCTTCCTGATATCCAAGATGTTGCCAACTTGTTACTGCTTTGTTCCTGTGGGCCATTTTGATTAATGTTTTACCCGTTTTATCGACCTGAATGAAGGCAGAGACGTATAGGAAGGATGAGAAAGCGAGATATAAAGACGAATTTTNTTACAAATTTTAAGGGCCAAGGGCCAAAAAGTGGGACATTTCTACCGAAAGCTTCATAACCACTTATATGAGCTTTTTTCAGGCATATGAGAAACGTTTTCCAACGTGTCCACAGATTCCGATATTTGTTGGCTCAGAAATCACGTATGAATATCATAGCGAAGATGGTGCTGAATGGGTGGTTGAGCGAAAATGTCAACTAAATGTCGATGCTCCATATTTGGTCAAAAAAGTCAGTATTATTCTTTATTTTCCTATTATTGCCAATAATCTGCCGCTTTTGTGGGCGTAGTGCGGCTATTTGTCGTATCAATATGCGTGGTCATATATCGATCGCTTTTCACTCACAGCGCATCGCGTCCGCACGCTGACTTCGCGTGAGCAACCGCGTTTTTGTGATAAATGTATTCAATTATATTTTTGCAGATTGCGGGTGTAGATTACGTATATTTCACACAGAAGAACTCTCTAGATCGACGGAAACGGACTTTAGAAATTGAGGCGTCGAATATATCATTCTCTTCGCGAATCGTCGTACGAGAACATTGTAATTATTATGTAAGTGATTTATTAGCCTTTCCTCAAGCTAGACGTTATTGTTGGTAATGGCTGTTCACTACTTCCTAGTGGCTGCTTCTATTATGTTGACTGCGATTGTTGTCGCTTTCCGGATTCTAAAAGTTGTTTTGGTTCGAGTGGTCCCTAAGATGGGCTCATTTTTCATGTGGGGCTCTAGAATATGAATGAAATGACTTTAATATTTTTCAAGGATGGATTGGGGTTGGAAAGACAGGAGGTTACATGGGGGGGGGGG